ACCCGATGACAAATGCATCTGAATTTCAGATATAGATAGAATGCTAGAGATGGGTACTTGATCTGGTTGCCCGTTGATCTTAGGCTCTCTTGCCTATGTAATTGTGAGCCAACATGTCCAACCAGGCACCAGTCCCCTGCAACTACGCAAAGATAAGGGGGCGTTCTGGCAATGCATTGATGCATACCATTAAAGGAGAAGTCCGGTCAGCCAGGAATAATCAATGTATCATTATCTACACTTAAAAGTAATACGTATGTAGTGATTCAATGAATTTGGCGTTAATCAGTAAAAATATTAAAGCAATAATTTTCGTTGCAGTCGCTGAGTCTGGGAGCAACCATTTTTGCCCAAATATAGTAACATCTCACTTCTAACATCTTCCAGTGACGTCACGGTGCGGTAAGCCTAGCGCCATTCTCCCTCGCTTTACAAGCAAAATCAATGGGAACTACTGGACAGATCTTCAATCCACAACAATTATTTTAGATTTCGGAAAAGGACTTCACCATTGAAATTTGCGAGAGCTATTGTTAAACTGACAATGCCTATGTGCATAGCAGTTGGATGTTGTAATACATTAGGTAAAAGTGAAAAAAGAAAATGTATTTCCCCTTTCCGATTCATGGTCCACTACGGGTTCGTCGTATGATTGCCAACTTGAAGAGGGAGAATTTGCCATCGAACTGCTGGCCAGAGAAAAAAAACACATAATATGTAGCCCACATTTCAAAGAAGAGGGATTTCAAGATGACTTGGATATTGGCACGTTGTGACAAACACCAGACAAAACACTGGGACTTGATCAACAGCCGATTCGGCACCGTGACGTCACAAACCGCTAGGTGGCAGTAGTGTTCTTTGACGAACATTGATGTCTCCATTCAAATAAAAAATTACTTTTAATTAAAAACACATAATTTATTGAACAGTATATAATAATTTCCTATTTAGAATACTTTCAGAAGTTTGAATTCTAAATATGATTGGACTTCTCCTTTAAACATGCATGTTGCCACAAAAAACAATTATACAACTACAAAGGTAAAGAAATTGCAGCTTAATGGAAGCACAGATGCAGCAAATTGTGTCCAAAATATTTCTCAAAGGTTATCGCTCCATATTTGTTGGTATCAGAGAGTTCTAGAAGATGTAATGGCTTCATTGATGCCGTCACAATAACAATACAACGTGAATTTGTGATTCCACTACATTTCACAGGAGCTCTAATCAGTTGAAATTTGGTGACTTCAAAGGCCAATGGTTCCCAATAAACTCTTCATGTTCAAGAAATAAGCGTGAGATTGTTCAATCATGTTAAACTAGTGCAACTAGTTGATGCATTCTAGACAGGCTTAACTGGTATAGGGTTTAGTTTAATGTAGTTTGTTTTAATCACAGAAAAACAAAGGAGAAAAAAAGTGATAAAACAGGGTAAAAGTAATAACAGATGTGATGGTGTGGTAGACACGAGTAGATTTTTATAAACGATACCAATATATATATATATATATATATATCAAGTATATATTAATTATATAACAAAAATTAAACTTAAAGAAAACATGAAACATTTTCAAAATCCTGCAGTTTTGAATTTAATGATTTTTTCGTGGTACATTTTTGAACATAGAAAATAGAGAGTGTTCCATAAGCTATAAAAAATGGTTCCAGAGAGTTCCTTCTTATGGTCAGCCAAGGATTGTGAAATGAAGAAACGTTTAAAAGGACCATTTTTAAAAACCCACTATCAAATATTTCATTTTGCGTACAAAAGTACAAGTTTGCAAAATATTTCTATGAAATATATGCAGCAACTGCTGAAAAGTAAGGTCTATGTAAATATTGTTGTTAATCTAACAAAGCACTGTTAAAGCAGCAGGATTTTAATAAAAATATAAAATGTAGTTGTTCAATCAACAATGCAATATTTTTCTACAAAAGATGGAGACAGTTGTACAGATAAAAAAATAGAATTATAAACAAAGCTCATAATTTTTGTGATAATACCAAGTGATTTAGTAAAGGTATCCATCAAAGTGTGCCAAAAAAATCATCATCTCTGTCTTTGATACAAAGCAGGCTTAATATGTGCTTTCTTGTTGTTTACTATAAATTGTCATCTTACCATCTGCTTTAGCAGCTGAAGAGACTCACCAAAGCAGCCGTGTTTTTAAACCTGTGGCTCTCTGTCCTTGGTCAACCTGAGGAAACGGGAGCCTGTTCTTAGCTCACAGGGGTCCACCTGGTGGGGCCCTCAGCTGCTTACAGCACCTGTTCTTCAGAGATGGTTCTCCAGATACCTTGGAAGAACTGCATGGTTTTTGAAGTATTGTGGACTGTATATCGCCTTCAGTTAGGGACAAATGGTATTTGTATCAGTCCAATAAGTAAAATCTGGTCAATATTAACAACCGATGTTTATTTTCATGTAGTTGCTGTTTATGTTTCAGGAGCTGAAGGGATTTGTAATGTGGTGCTCGTTTGGTTATGTGACAGTGATGGTGAAGCAGCTCAGGATATTGATATCAGCCAAGATTTTCATGTCAGTCATCCCTGACTTTACCCAGTCCTCGCATACTGACCATTGGAAAGTTCCTCTTTTTAGGATTCTTCTTAATAAATCTGAGAGATAATTGTGCGTTAAGATCCCAGCAATTGTTTCTGAAATATGTAAACTACTCCAAGTGATAATGATAAACCATGCCATGCTGAAAGTTGCTTTATTTTCCTCTTTTCCCCATGTGGTTTTTGTTCCATCATCAAGAAGGACTTTGCCCTATCGAAATGGCCAAGTGACATGAGTTACTCCCATGGCTAACAGAGAGGCTAGCGAATTATAGAAACATTTTTATTAAAAAAAAAAAAAAAAACACTGAGTTTGCTAACTTGGATAATAAGAGAAAAATAAAAAAAAAATGGAGAAAAAGGATTTCATGTAAAATATATTTAGTCAGAAAGAGGCTCTGCTTTTTCAAACATTTCTGTGTAGATTTATCCTGTTTTCTTCATTTCACCTCCAATGTTAGCTGTGAGCAGGGAATTGTGATAAACACCTACAGTTCCCACCATGTTAGATTATCAACTGACATCTCTGGTAGAATGTGGCACTGTTATTTATTGAAGCATGGTGAGAAATAAAATTACTACCAGATTGTGCCTGCTTGTTGATTTCATGTTGAATTAAATCTATGGACAGATGAGAAAACACAAAAAGTCGGTCGTGGATGACAAAAAAGTTTCCATATTCCTCACTCATAGCTTGTGCTTTCATGAAAGGGGCCTGGAGCCTTCTGTAATACCTGATTTTCTCTAATATTTAGTTCCTGCTGTAGTGTGTCTGCTGCTGGGCGGGATGTTCTCATGTTAATGTCTATCTACACAGGATCTGATTCCAAGACTGATTCAGTCATCTGTTGATATGAGATTAAACATGAGTCATGGCTTCATTTGGAATTGATGTAATATAATAGTTTAATGGGTGGGTCGTAAACTCCGAACTGAGTTACACTCTTTAAAAGAACAATCCCGAACAATTGTTTTTAGCTTTAATTTTAAATTTTCTTCATGGTTAGGCCTCTGCCAGGAGCTGTTTGGAGGAAGATATAGAAATGTAGCAAGAACTAATTACATAACATGGCTTAAAATATTTGTTTAGGTTCTTAAAGTGAAGAAAAGTCTAAATCTACTGGTCTGTATAAGTAAATACAAGTGTTTGAGAGTTCAGACTTAATTCTGCTTACCGAAATACATTTTTCTTAGATTTTCTATATCACAAACTGAGCTTTGATATTTAACTCAACATCTTGTTTTCTAAAACAAAGCAATTTCATTAGCACTGCTGCATGGCAGTATTAAGACTTTAGGTGTTGATCGATCAAAGATGAAATATGCAAATATTAGAATTTATGGAAAAAACTTTGGTCATTCAAAAACATCTGCTTGTCTTTTGAGCAAATATAATCTGGGATTAAAAATTTAACAGTTTCAGGCATTTCACAGTTTGACAGAGGCTACCACAGTGTCTGCTGATAAGCCAATAGCAATGCTCCAGGGAAGTAGGTGTAACATATTTGTTTATAAAAATTATTATGCATTTAAGGTATGTTTATATATATATTCCCTTTTAGCCCATTTGTTGAGATTAATGTTTTTGGATTAATGTTTTTGGATAATTATTTTATATATATATATATATATATATATATATATATATATATATAAAATTAGGAGAAAAGAGGAGATAAGTTTTAATTTTCTTTCACATATTATAGAGCTTGATGATCAGGGCAAATTTCATGATCAAAGCCTATGTCAGATGGGTTTTGATCATCTGACATAGGCCATTATACTGAAATGACAGCTCCACCTGACGCAAATTAGTTTGAGCTGATTTAGCTCTGATTGTCTGCAGTTGTAGTAAAAGGTTAGGTTAATTAATAGAATACAAGAGCTTACCTGTGTTTTCAGCAGGGTTTTTGTTATGTTTAAGATTGCTTATTTAAATTAAATTCAAATGAGGATTGAAAATGTAGAGCTTTTGTTTATTTATTCAGAAATAAATCAGACATGGTAAAAATTACAACAGTGGTTCCAGGGGAACAGTTTTTCTTGTTGTCTAGCCTTTACACAGGTACCATCTCCTGTCCTTCATTCTCCATGCTATTTCTTATATTTGCCAATTAGTGGGTTAGGAGACAAATCACTGCACTTTAAAAGGGATTCACATTGCAAATGGAGAGTCTGCCACCCTGTGGAGGAATTGTGGTACTGCTTTTACAATAAAACCTCCCTCTTATCTGCACTTCTTACTCTCTGGAGTGCCTTTATTTTATGCGTCTCATTGCTCTGTGTTGCTTGATAAATATTTATTGCTTTTGTCATAAAGAATTACTTTAACAATAGATTATCAAGTGAGTTTTGTTCTCAAGGAAGCACCCGTTATTTTGTTTCCAATTACCTCTAACAGTTTGCAATTCCTTTCCCGTTTTGTGTTTCAGGTGCAGCTTTCATCGTTGTTGTTCTCCAGTCCTTTCCTCTGCGCCCTGGCTTCATGGAGGGATTTCCTGTGCACTGACCTAGCAGGCTGCCCTCTGGACCAGCAGCCATGTCAGCTTGTAGCACCTTCACTGAGCATGTTTGGAAACCAGGCGAGTGCAAGAACTGCTTTAAACCAAAGAGTCTGCACTGTTTGACGCAGAGCAGTGGGGGAAAGCCCCCATCTGAACAGAGGCCACCCTCAAACCAGCAGCAACCCCCCCTTCCTGCAGGATCCAGAGCTAACTCTAACCTTACTGCCAACTCCCAGCGGGTAGGGGGCGGACCTGCACGTTCAGGACACATCCGTCCTCCGGTCGCTAAGAAGCCAACCATTGCTGTTAAACCTACTATGATGCTCCCCAGCTTATCTCCAGGACTGGATTCAGATGGCAATCTTCAACAGCAAACAAATGTTATAGAACAAGATAAAACATCAGCTTTTACTGCCTGGAATCGCAATGGACTGAACTGTAAGAGGCCTGGTGGGCCCAACAATAACAATGAAGGAGAAGATGACAGTGAGGAAATAGAGGGTTATGGACCACTCAGCCCAAGGACGCCCAGTGGAAATAATAACAACAGTGGACTGACGGATGTCCTTAAAGAGATTGCTGGGTTGGGCCCTGGCTCTAGCTCCCCGCTGCTGTCTGGTTCCAAAGACCTGTTTTGGGGGCGAATCAGTAGCTCATATCGAAGGTCCCTGGAAAGAGGCCTTCCAGCTTCTAGCTGCCTGGCTATGGGAAGCAGCAGCACAGAAGGTGGAGCTCAGAAACGAGTGTCACTAAGTGATTGTACAAAGATCATTAGCTCAGAGGGTGGGCGCTACTGCTACCCAGAGTTTTCCAGTGAGGATGAAGATGATGATGAAGATGAGGAGGGTGAAACTGAGAAAGATGAGGAGGAGCATGAGAGCTGGGATGAAAGTGATGAAGAGTTACTAGCCATGGAAATCCGTATGCGAGGCCAGCCACGATTTGCCAATTTCCGTGCTGCGACCTTGTCTCCGGTGCCCTTTGCAGCAGGGAAAAAATGGAATACGGTGCCCCTTCGAAACCGCTCCTTACAGAGAATTTGTGCGGTGGACTACGATGATAGCTATGATGAAATCTTGAATGGATACCCATCCAATGGAAGCCTTCTCCCCTATGGACCTCGTGAGACGCAAAGCAGTGCTTTCCTCTCAAATTCAGAATCCACAACCTCTCCTGAATCATCTTCATCATTGCAAGAAGATTCTCAAACCATTTCCAGTAGTGGAAGCAGTGTGTTTAAAAATGGCTTGCATTCGCCCACATCTTCTAAGGCACCTGTGCTTTGTACAACCCCCCCAAACAAGGAGTCTCCAAAAAGGGCTCTGAGTCCACCTAGGCTGGCCGAGACTCACAAGGCAGTGCTAGCAATTAGATTAGAGGACCAAGATGGTAGGGAAGGGATGCCAATGCCTCAAGCCCTTCCTGGACAACCAGTTACTATAAGCTTCAGCCCTACAGAGGAGCAGGCTAAACCTTATCGTGTAGTTAATTTGGAAAAGTCCCTGATTTGTAAGCCTTACACTGTGGTAGATGTCTCTGCATCAATGGCAAGTAAAGAGGAAAACAAACAAGATCCGTTGCCAAGACCCAAAAACCTACCAAAACCCTCTAGTCCTACATCATTCTGTAGCACCCCTTCAGTCCAGCCCCTTTCTCCTGTGACTCCCATTTCCCCAACTTCTCCTTTAAGATCAGTATCACCTTCATCCATTGCTCTGTCACAAAAGAAAACTGGACAAATACGATACCAAGAAGTATGGACGTCAAGCACAAGTCCTCGTCAGAAGATACCCAGAGTGGATCCAGGGTTTGGGAGTAGTTCTGGCCAGTCCATTGCTCCTCAGTTTTGCAGTCACAAGTCAGCTCCCACTTCTCCCATTGCAGGACTGTCATCCTCTAGAACTGTACCCGTAAAATCTCCAAACCTGTCTGAGATAAAATTCAATAGTTTTAATAATGCTGGCATGCCTCCTTTTCCAATTATTATCAGAGATGAGCCAGCCTATGCCCGGAGCTCCAAGAATGCAGTGAAGGTACCTATTGTTATCAATCCGAGTGCCTATGACAATCTTGCAGTTTACAAGAGTTTCTTGGGCCTCCATGGTGAGCAGTTACAAACAAAAGGGGGTAGTGGTAGGGTTGCAAGCCATACATATGAAGAGATTGGTTCTTCCGAGAGTGTCCAGTCCTCCTCTACAGAGAAAACACTTTCTGGGAAGGCCGCATCAGAGCAAGCTTTGCTTGAGGAGACGAAGTTTCCACTTGAAGTAGTGCCAAGTTTGCAGGGTAGAACCACTACAGATCCAAGCACACTAACAAGCACTGTTAAGAACTCCTCATCTGGGGTCCTCTCTCCCACTACAGCAACAGTTTCTTCTGCCAGTCTTGCCATTGCTGCAAATATAATTAAAACCAGCCCTGCTGCTAATGCTGTTACAAACCCCTACATTAAAAGTGGAAATGATGATGATAAAGTATTAGTTGCACCTACGGGGACAGGTGTAAGTCACAGAGAAGAGGCCAGTGCTGTGCTGTCACAGATTGTAGCATCAATCCAGCCTCCACAGTCTCCTCCAGAGTCCCCCTCAGCACAAACCAAACCCTTGAGCTCTGAGGAGTTATACGCCCTCCCTCCTGATGCCATGAAGGAGACCCTTACACGACCCAAGTCTCTGTTTTCTGGCACTGATAGTTGTCTTTCCAAGCCGAAAAAAGAAAACCCCTCAAAGGTTTTGTCAAAATCCCAGAGTGCGTCTGCTGCTGTCCCACTTGCCAATTCCAGATCAGAGCCCAGTGCGCCCTACCCACCACCGAGGTCCACATCGTCCCCTTATCATGCTTCTAACATACTACAGAGACATTTTGGTAATTGGACAAAGAGCTCCGCCTCCAGCTCCCCATCGCGACCTGGTGAAGGCGAATCGAGCCCCGGTGGGGAGGGGAGACGGATGTCTGCTGAGAGTTCCAAACCTAAAAGGTGGATTTCCTTTAAGAGCTTTTTTCGCCGGCGGAAAGATGATGATGATCAGAGAGAGAAGGCAGAGAAAGACAAAGAGAAGGGCAAGCTGGTTGGGCTTGATGGGACTGTCATCCATGTTCTTCCACCACCACCCAACCAACATCAGCACTGGTTCACAGAGGCCAAACCTGAGGATCCCACCCAGAAGCCTACCATTATTTTTACCTACAAACCAGACACAGGTAGCAGCCCTGGTGATGGAGATCTTCGCATAGAGCAGTGTAGAGAAACTGATCTGCTGGCAGAAGAGAGCAGGGACTCTGACCTTTTGGGCCAAGGGGAAACTGTACCATCAGAAGGTGCTGGAGGAGACGCCAGCAGTAAAGACCTCAGGTAATTCTGCTTTTCATTTCTCAATGTCATCAAAGCATTACTCAGTATAGATTTTCTTACTGACTACAAACTATATGGCTGAGTTTGATCTTTCATATTGTTTCATGTTATTTTAGTAAGAAGTTGTTTTTGCAAACTGACTGATCCTATGTCCTGATTTTACATATTCCTGTATCAGTAAAGGTGAGCTAAAACATCTCATTCCCATTAGTTCAGCTATTCCACACAGGTAAACAAAACAACCAGAGTCTCTACTGGTTGGGAAGATTTCTAAGACGCCTTGGAAAAGATTTTACACCATTTTAGCTATTTCACATTTTGTCAAGTTACATTGACAGACTCCATTGTAGTTCATAGGTGGAAGGAAGAGGATGAGGATACCTAGCTGTGAATTCTATTTGTAGATACATTTGTATATAGGTATTTTTAAATAGTAGATTGTATTTTAATTCAGTCCTCCTTGAGTTGTAGGTGATTTGTAGTTCCACCTCTTGCTGAGATTACGTTTGCAGGTTATAGCTCTACCAGCTCTGCACTTCTAAAGACTGAACTTTTTTACATTTTAATTTACAAAATAACTCAAGTTTAGTCAGCCTGGCTGGAGAGCATCCGTAAACATCGACTTTCAAAATTTGACTCACAGATTTAGTTTTTTTTTTTTTTTTAACCACACAATGGATCAAATCAGGGAGAGCTACCAAAATGTTTTTTTTTTATTATTTGGTAAATTAGGCTTGGATCGATATTTTATATTTTTAAAGTTGAACTTTCTGAAAAGTTTTTTTTTTTCAATTTGATCATATGTTAAATGTGCTCAAGCAGTAAAAAAAAAAAAAGGAAAGAAGCATGGTTAACTGATCTGACAATTTTTTCAAGGAAACTTTAAATTCCTCATCTCACTAACAAGCTGTTAACATTTTCAGTCTTCAGTCACTCTTCCAAACCTGCTCAGCTTCTGAGCTCATATCTTGTTTTCTTTGCCCTGCTTTTATTCTGGTTTATTTTCTTTATACCCCTGCCATCCTGAACAGTTTTTGGGTTGTGTTCAGATGCCTTCTCATTTTTTTTATTATTTGTTTTCTCTATTTTAGCTCTCCCAGGATTCTCTTTTCTTTGAGCCCAAAGCCAGGAAATATTTTACTCCTCTATCATGTCAAAAGCACGGCCTCATTCTGTCTCATTTCAAACTTTTCACATTTTTTTCTTCCTGTGGTTTTTGTCTTTTATTTCTTCCTAGATTTTTTGTAATTTAATTTCTTTTTCACTTTATCACAAGTCGCAGGAAACTCCAGTATGTCTAGTTATGCTATTTATATCTCACTGCCTGTCTGCTGATGATATCTGATGTATTAGGGCTCTCAGCATGCAGTAAAGGACCCGCTGTAGGAGTAATTAAGTCTTATTAAGATTCAGATCTCCCCCAGAACAATAGACTGCCCTCTGATTAGACTCTGCTGCAGCATTAAAGCTGATCTTTCACCATTTTCACACAGTGACATCCCAGTAGGCAACATGAAACTCTCAGACTTTACAGTAAAGGGAAATATCACACCCAGTTTAATCAGTAGGACTCTCTACTCACTCACCACTGACTTTCTGGGTGCTTCAGCCAATCCTGATTTGTTAGCTGTGAAAGAAACCATAATTTCTTCGAGTTATCCTTAAAAAGCTACAGTAGCTCAGAGATCACCTCGTATGACAGCCTACTTTCACAATATTACTGTACCTGAACAAAAAAAAAATAATGCATTGTCTGGATAGACCTGCTTGTGTTTAAAATAGAAAATCAAATATAACTCCACTTCCGCAAAAACATGCAAAATATATAAGCAGTTATAAACAATGTATATGGCACATTTTAAATTTGATTGACCAGAGAAGGATATGGGATAGTTTCTGCCAAACTTTACATGTAGTTCACAGGAGCTTGTTGTGCAGAGCGTAGTACATATTGTGCTGATAAAGACTCTGCCGATGGCCCTGCAGTCGGCTCTTTAATCGATCTGCCACTTTGAGGTTGCTTTTACAGCTTCCCTTTAAATGGAGGAAGCGGAGCTACTCACTTCTTTTCACTCCACATCGATTTCTTAATATTACCAAACAGCCAAATTGTTTTTTCTTTGCGTAAGCTGAAAGAGTGGCTACTTTTAGCTGATCAGTAGTGTGGGGGAGGGGCAGCACTTAATAAATAAGTTTGTTCTGATTATTTTTCTTGTATCTAATGGAAAAAAACCTCATGTTGAGGACGGTGAGTTTTTAAAAACTTGGTATACCTTTACAATGATAACAGGTTCACCTCTGTTCATACTGTACAGGTTCCATAATCAGTTTGTTCTCTTCTTGTTCCTACTAAAGGTGTTTTATGTAGAGCTGTTTGCTGAAGTGATAAACAAACATTAGCTCAGTTACCCTGGTTTTCTATAAATCATTAATATAAGTCATTTTCCTACTTTAAACCTGCGTAAAACAATGCTAAATAATTCAATTAGAGACATTTTAAAACCTGAGGCAGGTCTCATCCTTTCAGGTGGGAAACGCGGGGTTAACTCAGGAGAGTTTTTTTCTATTCATGTTTTATTGGTGAACAGTGGGCGTGATCTTAAGGGCTGGGCAGCACACTTTACCTTCAACAGGTAAGAACTTTCACAGAGGGAGAGACTGAAAAGAAGACATGCAGGAAAAGAGTTTGTTCCTCTGAGTCAGACCTGGTTTGGCATAGAATGTGATTTCTCCTGCCGTTTTGTTCAGAGTTTTCAGATGGGAAGCTGTGTGAGCCAGTACAGCGGGTAAGATCTGACTCTTATCTTTTTACACGCCTTTGAAACCTGTGACCAACTCTGGCCCGTAAAGTGGTTTACTGTAGACCTAGCTGGGAGGAAGGATTGTGTTTTCTTTCTTTCTTTTTTCTTTTTGTTCCGTTTCCATCCTCTGGACATGTGCAGCAGAGTTCTGAGAATGAGGGAGGCTGTTTCATGCTGTCTGAACAAGTCAGATCCTGACACTGAAGTGTGTAGCAGCCATTAAGGTATTCATTGTGTCAAGGACCTGGGAAGAAAAATGTATGGATGTTTTGTTCAGTATTTATTCATATTAATGGTCTTTAGACTTTAGGGATCTTTCAGGCAGTATTACAGCTTTTTGTCAATCATTCATATTTCAGCTCAGTGTAGATCCAGTTTTTCCTTATTTGCTTGAATAAAAAACAAGGAAGAATCGATGAGGAAATATAATTAATCAGCACCAGAAAAGCAGAAGTCAATAAAACATCTTCTGTAGTTAATTGTAGTGTTTTCTTTTTACCCTCTTCAGCTTTCGTGTTTACTCTCTTAGCCACTTTAGTAACCACCCACCTGCTAATGCTGGAATCCTGCATTAGCACTAGGAACGTGTCGCTCTGTGTTGATCAGCTGCCTTTTAAAGGCTCCAAGATTGTTTATGGCCTGCGGGAACATATCTGAAGCAAGTCAGATGATGAGAGGTTTTTCTCAGACTCACTGTCTGCCGAGGATAAAGGCAAAATTGGCAGAGTGTGGGGATGAACTGTTGGAGCATGTCTTTTCTGATCTTTTGGTCATACATGTGTCAAAAAATGAACAGCTTTTTATGGTAAGATGGTACATTAAACCCAACCCTCTTGATGTGTAATTTTAGGGACTTTCGCCCTGTATTCACATCTTTAGTCACATCTGTAGCATCCTGAATCAGATGTGCCACAGTACAGGAAATGATACAGGATTCTGGTTTATTGCTGTTATTGTGCCCTTCCTATGGACAGAGGGTGGGGGAATGACGGTGCAAACTTAGCTTTAATAGAAAATAGTTTACATCAAACAGTACATTGTTACCGTGCTTGGAAAGTAGAAAGGGTTCGAGTCTACAGGAGGGTTCAATGCCACCCAGAGCTACAATATACCTGGACGATCTTTGGAAAATATCAAGCTAAAGAGACTTTAGCCATTAGGTCGTTATACTGATTCAGGCTGGAGGGAAAAGAAGAGTTTTCATTTTATTTACAAAACCCAGTTAGTTTTTCTTTAAGGTAACGTCATGTTTTCCTCAGGGTTCCTGTTCCTCAGGTACACCTTCCTTGCATGTTGTAGATAGGACTCTGTTCCAGCACACCTGATTCAAGTTAAGGCTCCTCCTTGACAATGAAGTGCTGCAGAGGCCTGTTAATTATCTTCTTTTTTTTTTTGGTCTGATACAACAAGAAAACTCCTTAAATATGCAGGACAGGGGTCCCTGATAAACAGGGTTGGAAACCACTGGCCAACTGGTTATGTTTAAGAAGGATTCTAGGTGGGACAGAATAATGGTATGGAGTCTTTTCATTTGATTGGCACATTCCAGTATTTTAGACATAAGGCTAATGTTCGTAACAAGTGGGAAGTTGCTCACATTGTCAGAGTTTAGTCCAGGCTGTTTGGATATGGGGGTCACAGCATCTAGTTTGAGTTTTGGGGACTGAACCAGAGTGAAGAGGAGTGATTCGTGCAGAATTGACAGAGAGATGCCGATGGTCCTTCAAAAACTTGGATGGGATGGGGTCCGGAGCACATGTGGATCTACGCATGCCTGCAATGGACTGTTTGGACCATTCCACTGATGGGAGAAACTGAGTGGGGAGATTTGGATGAGGGTGATAGTATTCATGACCACAAAATGGTGTTTTTGTTCCTTTGGAAAAATGACAGAAAGAAATTGCACTTATTTACTGTGAAAAATTTGGAGATCTCGTCACTTCTTTAAGGAGTTTCTTTACTGTGGAGAAAAGAACCTTGATATTAGACAAGCCCTGGTGTATGAGGTTTGATTATTACATAACTGAGCTGAGTGAAAAGCATCTTTATATCGTAGAAGATAGTCAGTGTGGACTTCGTTAGGAAACAGTTTCCTTTTACAGTCTTTCCAGCACTCCATTTGGTAGAGTTTGGTGGTGTATCAAGGAGCAGAGTGCCAGAAAGTGACAGTTCTGGTTTTAGTAGGAGCCAGCTGGTCAAGACACGAGGAGTGTAAGTGGTCACAAGGTCAGAGGGATCAGAGGAGAGCAGGAGCACATTTTAATGTTAAGAGAGGCTGAGAGGGCAAAGAGAGGATGGATCAGATATTTCTAAATGTTATTTTGCCTTTGTCCTGGCGAATGGGGATGTTGATGTCCACAGGGGTTGCCAGGTGGTCTGAGATAATTATGATGAATAATAATTGAACTTAATTGATCTCACATTGGAGAAATTTACCTCTGCATGTAACCCATCCCCTTGGGGAGCAATTGGCTGCCAATGTGGGGTGCCTGGGGAGCAGTGTGGGGTTAAGGGTCTTGCTCAGAGACCCAGAGTGGCAGTCTGTGGGAGTGGGGCCCAAACTCAGAACCTCAGGATTCAAAGCTCTATCCCCTAACAGCTAGGCTGCCCCTAACAGCTAGGCTGCCACCTGCCCAATGTTCAGCTTTGCAGAAAATATGGTAGTTTTAGTTGAAATGAGTGGAAGAAAGCGACTTAAAAATGTGTCTCTGTTTAATTAATATTATACAAGTATAGAAAATTAAGATCGATGGCAGAAATTAAAATACTCTCTGTGGTATTGAATTCAGTGCTGCTTGTTACCTCTGCAATTACCAATATTAAACAGTTGGTTGATTATAAGGCTCCCCTCTCTCCCTGTAGCAGCCAAGGGAAAGTCACCATGGCTTGAGGTATTCCCTTCAGCCTAAATGACCCACAATTATCTGGAAACATAAAGTATGACTCACATCTCTTTCACTAGTCATATTAGTTTTGATCTGATGATTAATTCTCTGTTCCAGTCAGGCAAAGGCTTGGTCATGCTGCTCTAAATTCATTTGTAAACACTTCTGATCAAACTATAGTACCTACCCTTCCATTGGTTCTTTACTAATACATGATCATTACATTGCACAGTGCCATATTTTACCTTGTCATTGCATCTCCTTCCTGCCTTTATGTGTGAGGTTACCTGTAAAAACTCACATTTCAGAAACTTTGATCAATCCAGTTCCCCCTGAGAGCCGGGGGGGTCATAGAAACACTGATTTTTAGAGGGTTAAAGAGGATAATAAGGTTCAGTTTAGAATAAGAAAATGAAGTCCTTTAAAAATTAACTTTTGATTGTAATTCAACATTAGCTATATTTGTGTTGTGCTGTTTAATTTATCTTGCTGCTTTTTTGACTTCTTTCACAAGAGCAGCTTTTTGTTTTCCAGTTTTAATGAAGTATTAACATGAGCTCTTCCTCTCTGTCATTTGCAGCCAGGTACCAGTCAGTCATGCCAGGGACCGAGACCTGCCCAGGATCATCCCTCTGCCTGCCAGAGTGAATCTAGGGCTGGTGTTCGGGGACGCCCATGAAGACCATGCCAACCAGGCCGCCCCCCCAGTCGCCATCAGTGATGGCAGCATCAGCGTTGGCGAGCCGGAGGACGATGGAAATCATTCCCATCACTCCCACTCTCCTGCCTCCAGCCAGTGTAGCGCAACCTACAGCAACCTAGGTAAGAACGGCTCATAATAGACCAGCTATTCTTCATGTTTAAACCTTAGTTAAGAAGATGTGTTTTTAGGATTTCAATCTAACAGACCAACACAAAGCAGTATATAATTGTAACAAATAAGAAAGCTAAATCTTTGGTATGCAAACCAAACAGAAAAGTAGATGAACATTATCACCAGAACTGGGCCTGAACTCAGCATGCATCCTCATGTGACAAAGCTGGAATTCATTGCTTCCAAACATCTCTACACAACGTGTCGCCGACCGTCTGCCTCCAAGAATAACCCGAAATCTGTCAGCTTGAGGTGGGAAATGATTGCTGCGAAGCTGGGAGCTCCAGTTTTAAAGAGCTGGTCCTGAAATAGAGCGATAATTAAAACCGGGGTCTCTCCTTCAGCTGTAATTTGCAGTAATGAGGGTTTTAAGATGTGTGAAATCAGTTTTTTGCCTACCAAAAGTTAAAAATCAAACAGACAAAGTTTTTATTTCTTTTAAAGAGGATACACAGCACAGTTTCTACTTCTCCTATCCAGCTCCTATTTCTCTAACCACACAGTACGGCTGGGCACAGAGATGCTGCTTGTATTATTGCTGTGCTGAACAACAATCGGACCATAATTATATATTTTCTTTGTGCTGTGATCCTAATAGTTAATGGGATGCGGCGATATTAAAGCCCAGGGTTACAGAAACGGATGTGATTTAAAGCCATCAGGTGGCCGGCTTGCAAAGGAAAGAAAGAAATCAGGAGATAACTGAGCAGCTCATTAGCACAGGCTATTGACCTGCTTTATAGTCTTCCAAACTGGTGCTGATGATGAAGCTTCCCTTCTGAGGATCCTCTTTTAGAGCTTCTATTGGGGCATTGAATATTTAATCTTCAGCTTCTCATAATTCATTGTTAGAAATTGAAGTCTTTATGAGATTCTTACATCATGAAAACTTTGAGTAGAAATACTAGTTTCTTATGTGTGACATGATTTAGCTATGAATTACTCCTGCTACTGCCAGAACAACACAAATCGTTACATCTCAGATAAAGTTAGCTGACCTTTATGTATTAGTATCCTAAATTTGATGCATAAATACTGCATGAAGAGATGCTGATTTAGTACTAGTGTTCAGGTTCTTACTGTAAATAGTTTCCAAATTCTAATGTTTTTAAGTAACTCAGTTATAACAATCTGATACTAGCTGGCTAGTATCTGGTCTCTTTCTCCTCGAATATATAGTCTGCATTTAGATATGCTGCTGTGTCTGTTCACCAAGCTAATAACCAAGCTTAAAAGAGCTTCTCTGTGTTTACAGTATGCTGTCAAAGATGCTTATTCATCCAGGTCATAGTCATTCCAAAAACAAAAGTTAAAAAAAACGACCCCCCTTTCGGAGACATAGACAGGTATCGGGTATTGCAGGCTAACAAAGAACCTAAACGACTGGCCATTTCTAAGGGGCGGACCTGTTTGTCCATTTCAATTTTCATATTTTCTAAGCCAAAACAAGGCTTTGTTTTTGTTCCACTCTATAAAGCCACCAATTTAAAGCTATTTCTGACATTTTGAATTGAAAAAGCTTCCTGGATGGGAAGCAAAATGTCTTCAAACTTGGAAATATAATCCAGTGGATTGTTTTGAACTTTTTTTAAATGTGCTTACAGTGTTTTTACATTAGCTTAGCATGTAGCACCGCTCAGCATTTAGTTTTTTCTTGTCAATCTACACGAAGAACTCTTTTGTTTTCCCGATAAAGAAGTTCTGTTTTTTTTTTTTTCTGACTTTTTTCTGGATATTCAGACTTTAAAGAGTTATAATGGCCTGGTGAAGCAGCGTCTTTTAATGCTGCACCAGTGCTGAAAATAAGACTAATGTTATTGAGTAAGAATAAATCAATGAGTATCTTTGAATTATTCCTTTTGATTTAAGAATGAATTAATTCCAGGTATTGATTATTTATATGGCCTTCCTGACAAATCATGTGAATATTTTAGATGTGATCAGAATCAAACAGTTATGCATTTAGACCACTAAATAAAAAAATCTCCTGAACCAATATAAACAGATTTATGCAGTTAAAATGTTGAAGGTGATCATTCTCGTTGTTCCCTTTTACATCAGCCTCTACATCGTCATCCGTGACTTGAGCTGAATAGGAAAGGTTTTGAGTGTTTTATTAAGGAATGATGACGATAGTAGAATGTGCTCCTCTTTATGCATCGCAGATATGAAGCAGTACTTCAGAACACTTTATATATGATTCATTAAGAAAGCTAAACCTTCCAGCATCTTTCAGTTTCTACAGTGAAAGATTCAAACAGTTTTGCTAACAGTCAGATTAATGACAAAACTAATACATTTTTCTTCATGTGATCTGGAATAGACTGGGCGTTTACCCAATGTATTAGCATGGATGGTGGGAAAAAAAAAAAAAAGGATTAGGATTTTTAGCTCTTTCCTCCTAAAAAAGCACAATGTAGTTTAAGCACAAGTTTATCCAACACTGGATAGTATGTGTGAGTCCCAGTTATTGCATCAAGTAGTGGTAGAGGTGGGCGCAGCGGTGCTGGCCACTTGAAGCTGCAATGTGAGTGGGAAAGTATCAGGCTGTGATGAAGAGCATCTATACAGGAGAAGAAATAGAAACATAGTGATGGACAGAAGGGATGAGTGTGGGTATTGTGGAGTAGATTCATCAGCGAGGTGCTTCACTTTACAGATGCCAGTGCGTGGGTCTCTCTTTCTGTTAGACGACTCATCAGGGACTAAATATGTCTGTTGTTCTGTGCTACTTGCTAATTGTTGCTCTTATGTACCCTGCCTAAATGTGTGTGAGCGGTATTTGTGTTATTAAACCTCAGTGTGTGTACTTGTTGTGTTGGCCTGTGCTAAAAGCTCCCTGGGTGTCTAATGATGAGCTGCCTGCAGCCTGTTTTTTATTTTGCTACATGCAGCTAATGAGAGACGAGACAGGAAATAACGACTCTTTGTTACTGTGAGGCGGCGAGGAGACGAGCGCATCTTCTGCCTTGAGATGCACAAGTCGTTATTTGATTTGATGAACTGACTTGCTCTCCCTTTCGCTGTTTTTCTGCAACTTTCTCTTTTTGCGCACACATGTGAGCACCTCCCTCCCTCCCTCGCCTGGGTGCACCAACTTGTGGTTTAATCAGAGCATCAGGCGGGAGGAGGCAGAGCGCTCGCTCAGAGCTGCTCCTCACAGACTCAGAGATGGAAGCAGAGAAGAGTGTTTCACTCCGCCTCTCTGCTCAGCTGCTGCACAGTGTTTGCTGTTAAAACGTTAGTGGAGTTGAGGTAGGCTCGTTTTTTCCTTGTTCTCATCCCCTGGTTTTCATCTGTTTTTCTTCTAAATTTGTCCGTTTGTCCACCAGGATCCACCCAACTTCTCTGCTGTTGTTCCTATGCTTATCCTGATTTTGTTTCAAAGAGTTTTGCTGGAATCCTGTTGATGTATCAAGAAGTTCTGCATCCCCTCGTTTTAATCCGTTTTTAGAAGCAAAGAATGTATGAATGTTTTCTATAAAAAAACTCTCAAATCTGCAAGGATGAAAATGAGCAATGCTAAACACTGACAGGATTACAACCACTGCCTACAGTATCAGTTATTCTGCAAGTTAGATGATTGTTACAATTGTGTTGGAAGATCTATGATGACGGTCCAATGAAAACTAGTAGATATACCTTTCTTAGACTCTCTGACCTTACGCCAGACTTACCTTGATTTGGTTTGTTTTTTCTGGTCATCTCAGAGAACTGAAATGATTTCTATTTCTTAACAGGAGAAGAATTTATTCTAAACAAGTTGACACATATTTCCTTAATTTTTTATTCCTTTTCTGAGTCGAACATTTCCTGCATCCCAAAACAGTTTGCCGGGTTTTGACTCATGACAAACTATTGGGTGCATCGTGATGCACAGATTACAGCTTTCTGGCTGATCACAAATTACCAATCTTTAAATGGGGCCTTTTTTTTTTCATTAAAAGTGACACTGTCAGTTATTATAAGATCGCATTACACCTTTAATATTAACTTAAAACATTGAACTATACATGTGAAACTATAAAGATATGTTCAGCTGCCCACTAGCTCAGTGTTTCCCAACCTTTTTTGACTTGTTTACCCATGAGTACCCCTCTCAGTCAAAAGTATTGATGATTGTCCAAAAGTGTAACGTACAATAACTGATTTTAAAATAAAAATTATTTCACTTAATCTTTTAACTTGAGCATTTAATTGTAAGGCATTTTATAGAATAAAATCCTATTATAAACATTTATTGGTAAAACCGGAGCTCTTCTGAATAACTCCCTTATAATCACATTTAAACTTGATGAATTGGGAATAAAATACAGAAAAAAAATTATAGTCAGTCTGACTTCAATAGTTTTATTTACTTTTTGGTTGATACTACCTAAGAAATAAATTATGTTCATGTACCTCTTGCAAAGCACTGATTGACCACTAGGGGTACAAGTACCTCCGGTTGGGAATCAGTGCACTAGGCGATGGTTGGGATGTGACCTAAACTTGGTATATCGGTGGGAAATGGAGGCTGATTAATGGATGCACCCCTATGGGAGGTGAGTTTAGGATTGCAGGCCTCTTTGGTTGCACACATGGTTTCAGCTCAGCCTCTTCTTTAGGATTTTAATGAGAACGGTAAGACATCGCCTCTAGTGAATTTGTCACTTTGTTCTTTAAGCCTCTTTGAATCCATTAATATCCAAGAATTACCTTCCGGACTATTGCTTTAATATTTGTCCTTAATGTTCTTTCCTCATGATGTCATTAGTTTGGAGGAGTGCAGAAAGACATGATGTAAACTTCATAGATCACACTGTTCTCATGCTTCCCCTTCTTTCTCTAGATGTGACTAACCATTGTCATTTTAGCCAAACACTTCCTCTACACCACAGGACATGCTTGATGATAGTCTTTGTTATTGAGTCTGTTAATGAATTGCAATAATGCTTTTTATGTTGTTTTTTTTATTCCTTGCTGATCAGCTTTCAGCCATAAAGTGGAGAATAATGAGCTCTTACCAGCCTCAGATAGCATCTTCTCAAGCAATATAGTTTGTTGTTTTTCTAGCATCATGACAAACATTTTGCCACTAAATAGGCTGGACAATAATCTAACATTACTATATATAATAATATAGATTTTATTAAATAACAGGGATATGAATTTTCTGAACTTTTATCCGAATACCTCACAGTCTTCAGCCTTCAGTTACACCCTTCTGTGATTGTAGAAGGTATCACTGACTGATCACCCAGGTTTTATGTGGTTTTGGGGGTGTTTTTTAAGCAAACATGTCTAAAGTGTCATATTGAAAGAGCAGAATGATCATACGTTTGTTTTGGGCATTCTTAGCTGTCATTTTTTTATATCTATATCAAACCTTTATCATATTGATTGAAATAAAGAAATGTATCATGGTGTTGAGCCGTAGCCCCTAAACAGGTTCATCTGTGGAACACAGAACCCGTCTCCTGGTTTTATACTCCTGTATAATCTAATAGAAAACCCTGGAAAGGTTATGTCTATCAATCAAGGGGACTTGCAGAGGTCCTGACATCTCAGCTCATTTCTTTAGATGTTGCTTTCATGTTAGGAGCAGACTGTTTGATGCATCGCCTTTAAAATATACCCACAGTGGAGCATCCGTCCTCATTTTAACCCCCATGTTTTTCCAGAAACTCACAAACAGGTGATGCTTCAGACCGTTTAAAGTAGTAATGATTTTACTGTATCTTTTTGTATGACATGGAAATAGCTCTGTGGAAAAACAAAATCATATTTGGTAAGAAATCTTTGGTTATTATGTCACATTTTCTTATGTAATTCATTGAGTCACAACAGTAGATCCCTTCGACTGGACAAGGAAGATGTCTGCCTCCTTGGACGGATTACCAGAGATTGCTGGATGAACATAATAATCTGTGCCTTCTAGGGAGGATTATGATGAGTCATTTACTCATTTCATCCTGACCGCTCTGTCCAAAACTGTAGCTCCATCCTTAAGGCGAAAGCACATCAGGTGGTCTTATAGCAGAATTTGTAATCAGCAGCATTTTATGCAGGGAGAAAAGATTTGTTAAAGCGGATGCCTGGACCACTCTGATGGGAGGAGTAAATCTCCAGAGTAATTGACTGAAAAGGACATCATCTTCTTACTCTGTGCAGTCTTACAGTAACATCTGCCAGGAAACCAAGGTGATCCTTGGCGAGCTAAAGCGGTGCTGAAGGCCTGCCTGTGACCTTTTGAACCCAGCTGCCTCTTTTATTCCATGCAATGGAAAAAAAACGTTTATCTAGCCTTTTAATGGACGCTTATCTCTGACGTGTTTGTCTCTGGGGATCCCTGCAGTAAAAGGATGAACCCCCTCCATCCTTGAACCTCTTCAATCATTTCATAGAGATAAAGAAACAACAAGCTTTGGGTATATTTGATCTCTATAACTTGGGGTTTAGTTTGAGGCTGGTTTGGGCAGGCGAATAGTTTCAGCTCCTCTGCTGAGTGTTTTGAATTCTCCTCAGAGCCACACGTTCTTGCACATCAATTTTTCACACTCTTGTCTTTATATGAGGCAAGAAGCCAGCAGCCACGAAAGAAACCACTGGTTCAAAGAAAGACATAATGAGGAGTTCTGCCTTTTTTTTCGTCTACGATTTCTCTTTGATTCTTGTTAGAGAAACGTTTGACATCAGCATCCATCTTTGTTTTTTATAAATTCTTGAAAAAAACAGGAACTGTGGATGCTTCAGTTAAAATCCTCCAGATTTTATTTCTAATGGTGCATTTAAGAGGAGCACATGACTAATTTGTAAAAACACAAAAACAAAACACACACGCACATTATATGTATGTATATATGTGTGTGTAAGTGTATGTATGTATGTATGTTTGTGTGTGTGTGTGTGTGTGTGTGTGTGTGTGTGTGTGTGTGTGTGTGTGTGTGTGTGTGTGTGTGTATATGGAGGAAAAAGGGGGGAAGCCCACCCGCGATGGGTGAGGAAGAGTTTTATTTCTTTTTTTTTNACGATTCAAGTGATTAGTTGAATAGCCTACTAGTATACTTTTTCACGATATTCTAATATTTTGAGATAGGATTTTTGAGTTTTCTTCAGCTGTACGCCATAATCAGCTATATTAAAACAATAAAAGGCTTGCGATATTTGTAATGAATCCAGAATGTATGACATTTCATGATTTTTAATTGCGTTACAGAAAATAAAGAACTTTATCACAATATTCTAATTTTCTGAGACAGTCCTGTATGTGTATATGTTCTTAAATCCTATGCATGTCATTTTGATCCTCACAGTTGAGTCATCCAATTTAAACCCATATTGAAGTAGCTCTTCTTTTCTACCTTCAGGTCAGTCAAGAGCCAATATGATCCCCCTGAAACAGCCGCGGAACCTCAAAGCCTCCAATGACACGTTGTCCTCCGTGGACCTCGATGGCTCCATGGACCAGCCCCCTTCTAAAGCCACTCCTCCTCCGCTTCCCAAGAAGATTGTCCCTCGCTCCAGCACTGAACCCAGCCTGGGGGTCAAAGAGCCCGCCCAGGGAGCCCTCAGACCCCGGGCTGAGGCCAAACCAGGAGGTACTAACCTGAGTGTGGCCAACCCTCTGTATGACCTGGACTCCACCTGGGAGACGGCTAGCCAGAGCTCATCTGTGAGCTCTGAACCACATCGAGGCCATGACCATGAGAGCGGTGACTCTTTGGAGAGGTCGTCTGCTTCCACAGCCACTAGCAAGGGTCGCTTGGCTAACAGCGTGTCCTCCCTTACCCCCCAGCCAGCCACCGCCACACCTGGTACTGCCTCTGGCAGAGACAAGAGGGCCTTCCCCAGCGTGGAGTCTCTGGGTGGGAGGGGTCGGACTGCAGGACGAGGGACGGCTGGCGGGGGGGCCTCTAAACCACACAGACCTGCTCTTTACAGGGGCTTGGACAGCTGGGATGAGGTGGTTGGGAGGATCCGCGGACTTCACACCGACACCCTACGGAAATTGGCTTCAAAATGTGAGGACCGCTTCATGGCCGGCCAGAAGGACCACCTGCGCTTTGGGACCGACAGCTGGTCCCACTTCAGGTTGACCACCGGCAAACCGTGCTGCGAGGCAGGAGACGCCGTCTACTATACTGCCTCTTATGCCAAGGACCCTCTGGTCAACTACGCCATCAAGGTGAGCAAGGTGCTTCTACATTATTGAGGATCAGTTAGATTTACAGATTGCCTCAGACGGACCAGCACCTCTAAACACAGGGTTTAGGATTAATTGTATCACCAATACCTTTAGTAAAAGTTTGGCTCTGTTCAGGAATGAATTATAGGGACAGCTCCTTGCAAAAGTGTGTTTTTTTTATAAGTTCATTTGATTCTTTATGCAGGTTCTCAGAAGAACAAAGCAGGTCTTTTTAGCTTAAATTCAGGAAGTCAATCAGTCAGGAAAAACTATACTAAAACTATAAAAACGTATTTTTACTTTTTAATCCTTTAATCTCCGTTTCATTACCTTAATTATATTCTTTATTCCATTCCTTCTTCCTTATGTCGTTCCTTGCTTCTTGGCTCCTACTTTATCTTCATTTTTTTTTCCTTCCTTTAAGTCATTCTTTCCCTTCTTCAGTCCCTCTCTGTAGGTCCTACCTCTCTTACCTACCTCACCATCTCTTCCTTTAAATCCTCTCCTCTGTGTTCTTGCTTGTGTCATGTCTTCCATGAGTTCTTTCCGTTTTCCATAATTTAATGCGCCCATATCCCCATTTTTAATCTCTATGTTTTGTCAGTGTGATTCCAAAAAGTACAAAAAAAAACAATGTACTGGACCTTGTTTCCAAGTTTGAAGACGTTTCGCTTCCCATCCAGAAAGCTTTTTCAATTCAAAATGTCAAGAACAGCATTTTGAGGCTTTATACAGAGCCCAACAAGGCCTCAGTTTGTTTAGAAAACATGCAAATTGAAGACTTTCCTTTAGCGGGTCATCAAAGCAGATCTGAGTGGCTGTCCTAATGATTGGACCTAAATACATTAAAATCCAGGACAGAGACCTGCTTAAATGTTTAAAACTGGGGTGCAGGGTCACTGCCAGATGAACAGCAACACTTGAAACAGAACCAGAGCTGCAGAATGGCAGTGATATTTTGGAATAAAATTAAACTCCTCTATTTAATACTTGTTCTGCCCTGAGGACTGGAGTGTGAGATCCCTGGTTTAGATCAAAGCATATCAAGGTGCTAAACCAGTAACCACACACCTAAAAACAGTCACATCTGTAAAAGCATCAGAACAGGACGACTGAATACAAATATACGGCACATTTCAACAGTATTTTACCTGTTAAACCAACCTTCAAAATGTACCCACTGCTTTAAAAGCTCCGCCAAAGAAAATCTTCATAAAACACATTAAATCCTTTTTTGTGTTGTAATTTCTGTGAGCTTCATAATACATATTGAATGATGCCAGTTCAGAATGACACACCGTAACGGTCCAATCAAAGGCCTCACTTCTAAATGCTGCCTCTAGTGTATGATCAAAGCAAAGCCTTTTAAAACATACCCTCCTAGAACTCAATATTGTTGCCTTTAGAAGTCCTTGTTTTCTTTCTGTGGTTTAAACTCCTCCCACATCCTCTGCAAAAGTGTTTACCTTAAAGTGTTGCTACTTAAACTTTGAGCCCTGAGGAAACGTTCCCGTGTAATAAAACCTGTCTGTGTGTGTGTGTGTGGACTAAAAGGTAATTGTGGCTTAGCTCTCTATGCCTCATTGGACATCAAAGCTCAAATATAGTCTATTCTTTAAGGTGTTTTTATGAAACAATGCAACTGGAAACAGCAGAACTCCAACAAGCACCAACTTGCTGGTTTTCCTTTTGTAAAATCTTCCCCCAGTTTAAAACCCTCTTAGCATGTCTTTGTAAAAATAGTTTCTGACGCACAAAGTTGGATATCTACATGAACACGTTAGATTGATTTATGAGAGTTAAGTATGTAGTGAAAGGGGTGGGATGTTAAAGCATTAAAATGAAGCTCAGATTTGTTTCTACACAGCTTCTTGGTTGCTTGCAGAGATTCAGCTGAAATGGGAACGGAAACTGGGCTGAAGGACACCTCTCAGCTATGGACCTGTAGGCCTGTTAGGTGATCCTCTCCAGTTAGATGTGCATCGTGTTACTTATTCTCCTTCCCTCCTCTGTCAGGATGCACTTCAGCGATACGGTGGAGCTTTAAAGCTTCCTCTTCTTGAATTTATCCCAGCACACACTGAATAAATCAAGCGAATTCTAATCCCTCCGAGTCCCTTTAGCTCAAAAGTAAAATATATTGCATCATTTTAAATTTTTCTGCTTTTATTACTGGGGGTAAAACCTGTTCTTTTGAAGACTTAATTAACAGTTTTATTTACATTTTAACAGTGTTTATAAATTTTTAAATACTGTGTGCTTCAGAGTCTACCTGCAGCCAAGAGTAACAATGTGATACTAATACTTTGAGCTGAGGTGAAGGGCTTGAACATTTTACTGACCAATATATGCTAATCCAAATGCATGGGGTGTATCGTCAGATATCAGCTTTATTAAGGTCTGAACTCTAGCTAAGTTTATAACACATTCATATCCTTTTTTTTAAAAACTACTCTGTTGCAGCTTTGACTCTCTTTTTACGATTGTTGCCCCTCTTGAAGGAGAACCCCCACCCAGCCTGGAGCCTTTTAATGCTTCTAACTTAGACTTAGATGGATTTTTTTTTTTCATTTTGCATACAGCAATGTATACAAAAAGAAATTTTGTTTCAAACAGCTGTAGAAAATTTTTATTTTTTCATATTCTGTGAAATAGTCAAGAGGAGCTGTTCTTGGCCGCTGCCTTGGAGCGCCGCCATGGGGGCATGGGGCCAGGATTGTTTTGTATTCAATTTACTCTGAAAAGCTTTAATGCCATACTAAAGAAAAGGATCCCATAGCATGATGCTGCCACTATTCTGTCATTTTGCAGTGCAGTATTGAGTTTCTGATCAAAGGGTCTCTTCTTTACTGATTCTAAGGAATTCCTTTGCCTCCTGTTTCCATTACTCTGAATATTTATATAAATCCGTCTGATAACGTATGGGAAATTTGATTAAATAACTGCAATATACCTTCTATCCAGTGGGTGGCTTTATTAAAATACAAGACTGACTGAATGTTTAGATTGGATCTAAGAATTATAAAAATAAAAAAACTGATAATCTGTCCACAAGTACAGAGACTTGATAGTGTTTACTTCTAATCATAAGCAAATATTAATATCATGAGAAGAAAATGAGGTGATGTAGAAGGTGAAAGCAGGATCAGCTGGTGGGGTCCAGTAACAATCAGTGATTTCTGTTTGTATTAAATGTCTGCAGATCTGCCGCAGCCACGTGAAGGAGACACAGCAGCAGTTCTTCCACAGCCTCGCTGTCAGACAGAGCCTGCCGGTGCACTTTAACATCCAGCAGGACTGTGGCCACTTCCTGGCTGATGTCCCCACCCGACTGCTGCCTTGGGAGGAGGAGGAAGAGGAGGAGGACAACAACGAAGATGAAGAGGGGAGAGAAGGGAATGATGAAGGACAGACGGAGAAAGGAATTCGAATGGACACAAAAGTGAGCGAGTCTGAAGCATCCAACAAGTCCGATGAGACCCCAGCAGCAGGGAACATGAACACAGCAGCCCACCTGAGGAGCCGAGTGGTTGTCATCACACGGGAGGTGCCCTTCCAGACGGTGGCGGACTTTGTCAGAGAGGGTGTGGCCCGCCATGCTAGCAACCCCGAGCTTTACGAACGTCAGGTGTGTCTCCTGCTGCTGCAGCTCTGCTCCGGCCTGGAGCACATGAAGCCCTTCCACGTCACCCACTGCGACCTACGGCTGGAGAACCTGCTGATGGTCCAGTGCCAGCCGGGCAACCCCTGGAACCTGGAAATCCTCGAACCCAACAACAACAGCAGCGGCAACAGCTCAGGGGCTTCAGCTGCCAGCAGCGCCACCTGTCCCGCCCGCCTCATCATCAGCAACTTTTCTCAAGCCAAACAGAAGAGCAGCCTGATGGCCACCGACCCCGGGACGCTGCGTAACCAGTTGAGGCTGGCGCCGGAGATCATCACGGCTACACAGTACCGCAAGTGTGATGAGTTCCAAACCGGGATCCTCATCTACGAGATGCTGCACAGACCCAACCCGTTCGAGGAGACGCCGGACCTGAAGGAGCGGGAGTACACATGGGCGGACCTGCCGCCGCTGCCCGTCAGGTCGCTCTACTCTCAGGGTCTGCAGCAGCTGGCCAGGTTGCTGCTCACCGTCAACCCGTCAGAGCGCATCCAGATGTCAGAGGCCCGAGCCTGCCTGCAGTGTCTCCTCTGGGGGCCCCGGGAGGACCTGTTTCAGGCGCTGGGCTGCAGTAGCACAGGCCCCATGTCAGGAGCCACGGCGAGCCAGCGGGAAGCCACCCTGCAGAACTGGCTGGACCTGAAGCGAACCCTGATGATGATCAAGTTCGCTGAGCGCTCCCTGGACACAGCCTGCAGCGTGAGCCTGGAGGACTGGCTCTGCTGCCAGTACCTGGCGTTCGCCACCACAGACAGCCTGGGCCGTGTGGTGCACATCCTGCAGCAGCCGCCCCACAACCAGAACCAAACCCAAACACATCCGGCACACACACACCGACTGACTCAGTCGCAGCAACTCTAAGCTGCTCTTCCCATCTGTTACTATGGCAACCCCCCCACCCCCTTCCACTCTGTGCTCCCTCAGCTGATGGTGAAGTGTGAATTAAGCTAGCTGTGAGGCACCGCAGTGCTCTGCAAACACTGAGCAGTCTGTTTTCCTCATCAGTTTCTGCTGTGACCCCCTTACTGCTATGGAGTCCTCAGCAGCGCCTCTGAACCTGATTAGATCCTTACCAAACGTTTAGGGAGATAATCAGAGGTTTGAGCTGCAGGTCTCAGTCATTCACAAAAACACAGCAGTGAAGATTTAGAAATAAAAGGTGGCGCTATGAAAAAACTGAGACATTTAAACAGTTAGTTCTAGATATCTTTTAGGGCTAAAGCAAAAATGTTTGTAATAAACAATAAGAAAACCAGATTTATTTTAAAGGAATAAAAAAAGGGTTTTAGAAATTTTTATCTAACACTGATGAAAAGTAGTTGATAAATTTCCATTGAAGCCAAAGATTAGCCTCAAGCTGCCCACACAAAGTTTCCTAGACAGGGTTTTTTTTTTCTAGAAATGCACAGATTAGACTCTGTGTGTTTTAAACTGCCAATAAAGATTTCAGATCATAAGAAGAAATATAAAAAGTATTGGAAATGGTTTTTTTTTTTACCTTTTTAACCATAGACGCTCCATCATACTTTATAACAGCAGTAAAGATGACATCCACTGTATGAGAGCAGCTGCTGTAGAACAGGGTTTAATTGATAACAAATGTCACAGAGTTTACATTTGAACTGGTTTAAGCAGCTTATATTTGTGTTTAGAGGATCAGTGCAGCCTTCTTTAGGAAAACAGTATTCTCCTCCTTAAACTCAGAAAAATGGATGATTATCTTCATTTTTTAGATTTCCTAAAGACTCAGTGTTTCTAAATACAGCGCAACTCTTCACCGAAGGTATAAAGCACAAAAGGATTAAAGAAAACGTTGCTGTACTATATGCAGCCTTCCTGTTAGGTGCTTGAAGTCTTGCTCTCTCTCACTCTCTTCCAGCTCAAAACAACCACTTATATGACTCGTCACATAGAAACTAAATAGCTTCTATCTCCGTGCTCCTCCTTGATGCTGAAAACATGGAACTTTTTCTTTAAGTACAGAAGAAACACTAATCAAACATGTTGGACCTTTCAGTTACTGACAGCTAACAATCGTCTGATTATGATTTCTGGATGCATCTCTTGTTTTCCCAGATTGTCTGAACAGAACATGGTTAAAAAGATGAGTCTGACTCTGAAGTTTCAGGCGCTCATTTTTAAAAGCTAAAGGCTATTTTCCGGTTGAAATGAATGGCTTTCCATACGTCCTGTTGACCAGTCTGACCTCCCTCAGTGTTTTTCTACAATGGCTCATTTTATCACATATTAACTCTTCCATTGTTTTTTTGGCACATAAACTGATTTTATTTTAATCCTGCAACTTAAAATACATGGATTTCTTCCCTTGGATAAAATGTTTCATGGACTGCAAAATAGTTTTTTTTTTTTTTTTTTTTTTTTTTGTCGCATTGTTTTCTGAGCTACAGATTATATTTGCACATTGTGTCAGAGCGGTGGTGTATGAGTGGACGCCTAAGGTTTTAGAGAAACAGAAGACTAAGAAAAGTTGTGAAATGGAAGATTTGACTGTGTTTTTGGACTGGGATAGATGTTTGAACTCTTACTGAAACAGCCTTGAAAAGTAGGAACGAACTAATGCAACCACTGCTGAATGTTTCTGGCCCTCTTGTCATCCGTTCGGTCCTGAAATAAATCCTGATCTCTGGTCAGATGGCTTATTCTGCCTCGATTAAAGGGATGTGCGTTATTAATCACAGCCTTTCAGCTTCCAGTCAATGCAGGCACACATGCCTCCCTCCACCATTCATACTCGGATTAAACACTTTATTTTAGCAGTTTGCTTGTTTTGCTCTTTTTTTTTTTTAAGTTGAACTCTTTTTGTTTTTATTTTTACAGTATATCAACCCTGCAGCAGAGTGCTGATCTGGAATAATTTCTTGCAGATGTACAGTTAAAACCAATGGTCCAGATTTAAAAAAGATAAAGTGGTATTTGATTCTGCAGTAGCGTATGGTGAGGTATGTGTGTGGGACAGCACTGGTGGCTGGCCGCCTTTATATAGTAAAAAAAGATAAATTTAACCTTTATCTATTTTATCCACACACTGTTTTATGGAGTACAGAGCACCTGTATTTTTCTTGTCTAATAGTCATTTATTCATTGATGCTTTACTTGACTCTCTTTCTCCTCGCATGTTCTGGAGGAAGATTAAAGTGAGTAGTTATCACTGTCCTACGCAAACAAATGACCAGAGAACATCTCCAGTATCACTTGCATTAATACGGAGCAGTGTACAGTATTTTATCGCTTGTGTGAGTTTGCCTAAAAAGGAGAAAAACCACTGTGGCTGAAACGACGTCTTTCTGAACCAGCTTTCAACATGTTCAGATTATGCATCAGATTTTTCTTCTGTTCCGGTAAATTCCACTGAGTTTTAAAGATGAACAGGAGCTCTAATGCTTTCTGTGAGGTGTCCAGTTCTGTCTGCTGGCTTCATCGCCATTAATTGTTGAACAAGTTAGACTGTAACAGAACAATAAATATATGTTTTTATATATATATACATACTGTCTTTGTGTCTTTTTAGCCTTTATATGTCTACCATGTTCACACACTCCCTTCAGTCTCTAAATAGTATATCCCAAACTTTCCAAAAAAGTTTAAAAAAAAATCCACTGGACTTTGTTTCCAAGTTTGAAGACGTTTCACTTCCCATCCATGAAACTTTTTCAATTCAAAATGTCTGGATTAGCGTTGAGTTCCAGGCTTGAGTTGGTCCACTCCATAACGCTTCGAACTAAACACTAATTCAGACATTTTAAATAGGAAAAAGCTTCCTGGATGGGCAGAAAAGCATCTTCAAACTTGGAAACAAAGTCCAGTGGATTGTTTTGTTTGGAATGACTATGACCTGGATGACTGGGAATCTTCACCAGCATATGTTCCAACCCTTAATCCACATCATACCTGTAAAAACCTAAACCAGAGAATGTTGCTCCCCCTACGGATTATAATTGGTATCAAAATGATGTAATTACAGGCTCGGACTGGGAACGATTTTCTTCCCTGGTATTTTTTCATCTACACCGGCGCACTTATGACCCCGGTATGATTTAAGGAGGGCTGACCCTCGCACGCTGAAATTAGGTCAACGCCCGGTATAACAGATTACCAGTCCGAGCCTGTGTAACTAGTAACTTAATAATGTGACACTGCCAAAAGGTCTAAAAAAAAAAAAAAACACATAAGCAGAAAGTAGGATCAGGTCTGTATGATACTACTTCAAAGAAATAAAATAAAAATATCTTTGTGTTTATAAGCAGTGCTTACTTGCTTCCTTTTTTTATATGAAGGTTTCTTCTTTGGCCACCAGGGGGAGGCCTTTACAAGGTGGGAAAAAAACTGCTTCTGATTAACCTTATGCTGTTATGTTGTTTACTCTCTCTTCAGTACATTAGAACCCTCTAGTTATGCAACCACCATTAAAAAGTGTTTCTAAATGAATGGAGAAAATACAAAAATTATAAATTGGTCTTCTCCTGTCTTTTCCTAAATTCATATATAAAAATAAATTGGATAGGATTTCAGTTTCAGTGCCCTACAGTTTATTCACCCCAACATCACACACTTTATAAGATAAACAGATCAAAAACACATCAGGAAATGTAAAATCAGATCAAACACAGTCGGAATATTTGGAGGGATTTAAATAAAACAACATTCCTTTTTATTTGTGATGACGTTCTAATGCGATCAAGTTTAGTTTTTAATGTCAAGCTTATTTATCTACAAAAGGCCAGCGAAGACATTGATTTTTCTGCAGTTCCTCATGTGGTGAGAGGCCAAAGAAAGCTCAGGGTGAGTGGCCATCTGCCTTCACTGACCATAGAGGGCGAGAAAATGGAACAGACACAAAAACGGAGACGCTTGTCTCATTTGTATTTCGATGTGCAATGAAATCTTGTTAATGGCAGCAGTCACTCCATTTTCCGTTAGAAGACTTTGAGTTAAACAGAACGGAAACTGTGTCATCTAGAGCAGGAGAATGTAGCCAGGATAGGATGGAAAAAAGCTTTTTTTCCTCAAATCGTTCTCAGACAGCAGGTTAGAGATGGACCAATGAATGGATGATATTAATAACCCCTCAGATGCTGCTGTGTGTCATTGGTAGAAAAAAAGAGGTACCCTCATTGAACCTGGTGGTAAGCGGCTAAAAGACAACATTTGCACTGATTAACTTCCCAGAGAAACAAGTTAGGAATTAAGTTATCTATACGAATGCTTACATTTACTTATTGCTTTAGCAGCTTACAGTAGCTTTCTATAAATATGCAATATGAGATGAAGGCTTTTTATGTGGCAAGAAAAGTGGAAGGTGCTGTAATATTTAGATTCAGCTTTAAGGAAAAACAAGATTGTTAATTAAGTCCCTGCTCTAACAATGGCCTCATCTAAGAAAGCAATCAAATAAAGCTTTAATAATGGAATGCTCTAGTGGCTTTATCACCGGTGTTTATGCTGGCATCACTGGATCAATAATGGAGCCCAATGTGGTCCCATTTTTCCATTTGCTGATGGATGAAACATCAGAGGGTATTGTTAATCCAGACTAGGATTAGGATTTTAGAGGTTATCTGTGAAACCAGTTCAGGAGGCATAGTCGAATCAGGCTTTCAGAGAGAATAACTGCTGGATTCTTGAGCTGATTGATGTTTTTATGAACCAAAATCCAATGTATATGTTATGGCTGATCTTTTTACAGTGAAGCATCATCAAGGTCCTAATTATGATGTATCTAACAACAAATTATTAAAGCGGTCATAGAATGATTCTATAGGGTATTTGGTGCTGGTCCTTAAGATCTCTGAATAGGGTGTGTAACATTGGTTGGGCGGAAAATGGCATATTTGCTGTTCTATGAGCTCTAATGCAAGCCTGGTTAAAAGCCTTAGAATGAAACGACAGGTTTTCTTCCTTTTATGGCATGCTGATGAATATTTAGATGAACTGCGCTCTGATTGGTTGGTTTACAATGAGTGCAGCTGCTGAGCAAAGATGCATCATAGCAACAAGCACTCACTCACTGAAACATGGAAATTGTTGATATGGTAGCATTGCTATCAACAGTTATCAGAATCCTACAGCTTGTGGTTGTGGTGGCCTTACGGTCGGAAAAGCCCCTCCTCTCAGTAAAATAAGTTTAGCAAATCCTGCTTTGAACTGTCCAAGATTTTGAAAGCTGTCTTCCGTAAAATAGTTAGAGCAAATGAACAGCTGAGCATCAAACTTTGCAGGGATCTTCTGATACACAAAAATAACCAAGGCATGTTGAGTCTTCAGATCCTTAGGAAGACTAAAAAATGTTCCCCTTTCTCCGTGCAGCCTGGAACGCTGCGTTTACGCCCATTCTGGCTCATTTTCAATAGAGAAACTTCCTGCTTTGTAATTCTTGCAGAAGTAAACCCAACTGTAGGATAAACAGCTAAACTGGTGTCTTACATCTACCTCTATTCATGCTCTTGGGTCAGTGAACCAGTGGGCTGGTCTGTGTGTCAATTTCAGGGCGTGACAAAAGTACAGGCCAGAACCAAATAAGGCAACATCCCTGAATTGACGTCAATTCTGGGCTTCGTTTGGATTCACCCGGTTTATGATGGAAGTTTGGAATTGGGAGATTTGCAGAGGAAGGAGGTGTTGATGGGGTTTGAACTTCTCTGTATGTCCATCTCACCCACTGAACTATTGTTATTCATCTATGACCCCTTTAAAGCATCAATATCACAACATGATTACTGACAGAAAGAAATAAAAAAGACCAGAAGGACACAATTTCAAGGATTTACACGAAACTTTATTATTATTATTTGTTGGTTCAAATACAGAAGAATATCAGAAGGCAGAATTAAATCAATTTTTATTTATATTTCCCTTTGAAGCACTTGAGATAACCAAAGTGCCATACATTAAATGAACAATAAAGGAACAAAGTGAGACACTATAACCAAGAACAATATAAAGGTAAAAAATATGACACCTTGTAACTGAATGTCAAAAGCTAGTCTGAATAAAGCTTTAAATAGGTTAAAGTCATTATTAGTCTGCATGTCAGGAGGCAACATGTTCCTAGACAAGTAGAAAAGCAAGTTATGAATTTACATATGATGTCTATGGCAGCTTTTTACTGTAGTGATTGATATTTAAGCAAATCTCAATAAATCATCAAAAACACAGGTCATTTTTGTCATTGATTTAAAATGTGAAGCTTGAGGGTATGTTACGTAATAATTATGGCTTACAGTCAACGAATGCCTGAAAGAAAAATCACTATTAGAAAACTTTAACACAAAGATTATCTTATGACCATGTTACGACTCCAATCATTGCTAAATATACAGACTGTGCTCTGAGTATATTAATAGAAGGTTGAGTGGAAGGAAAAACTATGGTAGGTCCACAAGCAACAGGGATTACTTCTCACATCAGAGGATTCTATATAAAAAAAAAAAATGTAAGGGTTTTATTACATGTTGTCTTCAAGATGAAGACGTCATGTAATCCTTGTTTTAAATCATGCTTGATTTTAAAGATGGTCAAAGGAGTCCTAACCCTGGCCTACAGGAAACTGCAGTGGACTATAAGTGATCCTAATTTCCCTTTTAAAGCTACAGTGTGTAATAATTACAAGGAAATACAGTCAGAAATGTAAT